ATGGGAATATTCAAAAATATTTTTCAATTGTTGAGATTGAGTTTCGCAATTCCATAACTCGCAAACTTTTAAAACATTCCCATTATTTTTTTTATATTACTCACTATTTTTTGTCTAAGCCAAGCTATATAAAGACCTTGATTTAGAGAGGAAATTGCACTGCACAGCTCCAATTTTTGATTTATCATACCTCAACGATGCTATTAGGCGTATATCCTATCTATTTGCGACCTATCGGAGATCGACCAAAAGGAATGGGCTGGAGTAGGAGTCATCTGTCCTTCAGGTCCTAGTGTAAATGAGGAATACAGTCGAGCCTCTCCTAAAATACTACTCCTAATCTTACCTCATTACCTTTTAGGAACCTGCTCCGAGCCTATCTTCCGAACCGGCAAAAACCTCTTAAAATTAGAGGATTCCATTCCCGGCCGACTTTATTCAGCTTTAGGTGCAATCTAACACAGTGCCGGTGGAGGGCATCGAGGTACTCGTTAGTGCGCCTGTTGATCGACCTAGCAAGAAAAACTGGAAAAGACTAAACGGACATCATCGGCATAGATCAGAAGGAGACCGCCAGAGGCAGAAGCCGGGATGTTACAGAAAAATATATTGTATAACATCGGACCTATAAAATATCCTTGAGGATCCCCTGACAACATCGAGCGGCAGCTGAAGAGTCGCAGAACGGTCTTGGACTTGGATTTCTCTGCTTGATTTCTCGGTCTCGGACTTGGATTTCTCTGCTTGAGTACGTTCCCGTTGTAGAATGTGAAACTAGTCGCTATATATAATCCAGCAAGGCATTCACGTCCCTAGCACCATTTCTTCATCAAGTAGACAAATCGGACTTTCGAAATTTTACTAGTTTTGGTCCGCAGGGCATAAGTAGACTTCCTAGACAGGCGAAAGCACCAACAATGTAGTCAAAGCAAGATACCCTATACTTTCGTCATTTATATTATAGTTCTGCATTATTGACGTAGGGTATCAAATTATAGACCCCAAGGACCATAGCCTTTTTATTTGTTGTCGATATCTCTAGTTTTTCAATTCTGTCACTGATGCATTTGACAGACCATTTATCATTGCTACTAATTGTGTATCATTAAATAGCTGAAATAATATATCCAACAGCAAAAAAAACCTAACTCCAATGAAAGGGAGAAACCAACGCAAAAACAAAAAAATGAAACAATGTTGCATACGACGACGATTTCCTCTCGCCATTTCTTTTTCGCCCCTCTTCTTGGACCAAAAGTTTTTTTTTTCGAAATTAGTGACGGCAACATTTCCATCGTTTGCTGACGATAATGATGATGCTTCCAGTCTTCTTGGTAATTCCATAAATAGTGTTTTATTGTCATCAATATTCCATTGATACCAGACAACTGTCATTCAAATAAGCATTTTAATGACACCGAAATCAGCAATGACTATTCAATAGAACGTGAAAAGCATTCCAAAGCATAATAAATTCAAATTTAATTCAACTTGTTTCGCACAAAGTGATATATAGCTTATATTGACACTAAAGCGAGGATAAAAGTGAGGATAGTATATACTTGTTTTCTTCTCTTGGTATTACATATTTATCACGTTCAATATTATTTCCAATGAAAGTTTTTAGAAAACTATTTTACTCGATATGATATGAACGATAGAATTAAACCAAAATTTGTATTTTTTGTTTCGTTACAGGTAATTTGTTGCTGTTGATATAAAATATGTCATGGGTAAAATTCAAAGTTTCTTAAAAAAAAAAAAAAAAAAAACAGAAATATATCTCGATGTGTAGAACTAGATTTGTCCAAACCTCTAAAGTTCCTGTGAGTGACAATGTGAAGATAAACTCCAAAAGAACCTAAAAAATACATACATAGGCTACCGACATGCTCCACCGCACTGGTGCTCTACATATGTTGCTGCTGATGATAACCCGCGATTTTGTTGTGTTCATTCGGTGATGTTATCACAATACAAAGTTGTGCTGAGTTTTCCTCTGCTCTTGTGTGTATTGGAAAATGCGTTCAACATAAATGGATTTTTATCATTTTCCAATACCTTGTCCGGTGTTTTTCTATTGGCATGTGCATGTATACAGTTTTGTGCTGCTAAATTTTGTCATTCGCGTTGTTGTGTTTTATATCTCATTTTTATTATTAGTTTTTGTGGTTGATTTCGATCAAAATGCAATCAATGGTGCAATCCCACATTTTGTGGTGGAAGCAAAAACAGATGAGATTTGTTTTTGTTTTAACGTTTATAGCATCCCACTGCACATTGCACGCAATGCCGTCTAATACCACAGAAAATATACATATGTGAATGTATGTCTCTATGCTTAGTACAGATTGGGAATATATTCTAAATACATATTGTGATAACATCAGGTTGGCCGATGAGAAAACGTTGATTTAAAGCATGGCAGATCATTTAAACATATATTTTTTAAATTGCAATGAAAATAATTTTTGGAGTTGTATAAAAATCTATAAGGGATAAATGTGCTTCTCTGACCTAAAACCAACAGCTCCACTAAAAATTTGTCCAACCCAATCGTTTGTAATAATATTAAATACAACTTGTCCAAACATCATTCCTAGAAAGAAGAGAAAGCCAAGTTAAAACCAAATCGATTGAAGGCCAAAACCCCAGCAATAACTAAAATCATTATACAGGGTGAGATAAAAAAACTGATCGAATTCAAGTGTGATTGTGTGATTTCTTTATATTTGGCTGAAAACCACAAGTGGCTATCGTTAGAGCACTCCAGCATTTAAAAGTGAATAAATCTTTTGTGTTTCGTACCATCGTTCGTTACCGTGTACTGGTAGCGTAGCCCGATTTCATCGAAGTGGACGGAAGAAAACAGCAACATCAGCAGAAAAAATGCAAGAACTTACACCGCAACAGAAAGAAAACACACTCAAAAGAGGAAATATTCTGGAGGGTGAATTAAAGCCCTGGGCACGCAAACAATTTGGTGGCAGATCTTGGACATTTCAACAGGATTCAGCACCATCGCACTCAGCACGCGCCACCCAAGAATGGTTATAAAATGAGGTTCCTCGCTTCAAACCAATCCGTTGGAATATTGTGTCTGGAGTATTTTGGAAAGCAAGGTTGGCACTAAAACATACCAAAATGTGTATCACCTCAATCAAGCGCTTCGCCGGGAATGGGCCAAAATACCGTAGAGCAACATTCGTTTTTTTTATGTTTCTCTACAATCCACAACACTATGGGTAGCAAGATGTTGACGCACATTTAGGGGTTCAAATGGACCCAAAAAATATTTTTTTGATTTTGCAGTCGCTCTACAGTTGACTATTAAAAACCAATCGACGCGGACTTTTGCAAGACGAGAGACGGATAGGGAAGAAGTCTAGCATTTTCGATTACCATTGGATAATATTTAGCTGTAAAATGGACCATAACTATCTGAATACCTATCAGCACGACGGAAGGTAACATCTGTGCAAGGTTTTATGAATTATTTCAAAAACGAAACCTTCCATAATGAATTTGGACAAAAAGCGGCTTTACACATACTGTAGTGTTGTAGGGTATCAAACGGTCGACCCTGCACTTCTCTAGCCATTCTCTAGTTAATTGTTTTGTAAATAAGGTTTCTACACAATAAGAACTAAAAATATGGCAAAATAAATTGGAAAACATGGTCAAAACATAAAAAATACTTAAATCGAAGTTATACTTAAATCCAAGTTGTACTTAAATAGGAGTTATCCTTACAAGGGGACTATACCAAAAAGTGACCGCGATGACCAATATAATCCACTGACCTCTGTCAAATTTTAAATCTTTATCCTAAAAGTACGAATTATATCTCAAACTCTTTTGGGGTTTTGATATAACCACGAATACTATCAAATCCACTTGGCTCTTTTTCACAATACTGACGGGCTATAGTATAGTGAAATTATAAGAAAATTTGCAGCGAATTCAAGAAAAGTGCTAAATTTTATGGTACATATTAGGAATAAAAATTCTTTTTTTCTTTGCAGAAACACGACATACAAATTTATATAGAAAATTCTTCCTTTGACATTTTCCTCAAAAAATTAAGTATAAAGGGAGATTTGACTGGGATGGGAAACGTAACATTTAAAAAAGTCAACACACAATTTGCTCTTGTATATAAATTTCGATAAATTTAAATTTCGTAAAAACTATTTTTCCTAGATATATAGTTTATTCTGAGATTATAGTAACATTTTACGTAGAATATATATCGTCATTTTACACTTTCCGCCTAAAGCGAAATTTTATGTATCTTTCAGGCTTCAACTCGAAACAAAGAGAAAGAGGGAATATTTTAGTGGATTTTTGGGAATGTTGATATAAATATTTTTTATATATACTAGATTTTTTCTTTCGTGAAATTTGAAGAAGAATATTTTTTCTGTGACGTCATCCATATAAAATGATGATTAGTTGGAGATATTAGCATAAATCTACACAATGTGTATCTTTAATGCTAAAATAGCGTTTCCTCGCGTTACACCAAATTTCTTCTAGGGGTTATAGTAAAATTTTTGACAAATAAAAACGGGAAAAAAAGAAGTCCCTTGTTGACTCACTTAAGGGTTAAATTTATTATCCAAATTATTCCTCTAATTTTCATCTGCAATACTGCAAAAGGCACTATATACTTAAAATGCATGGACTACTAGGAACCTCAATCAGAAATTTTCTAAAAGTGTGGGAGTGGAGGAAACTTGCCCCACTCTATTTAGATCGCTTTGCTATGAAATCTTTCAAAACACCGACACACTTGTCTTCACTTTTTACCTCTACAAAACCTCCGGGATTTTTTCCAAAATTATTTTTTGTGTTGTACAGTTTTATAAGACAATGATAAAATAGCATATTATTTAAAATGAAGAAGGAATTAATTTTGCGATCTTCTTTTTATTAAGATATTCGGATTTCGCTTGTTAACCATAATAAATCTTCCCAAAATTAAATAACAATTTCGATTTACATTTTCATCAGTATTTATTACTTTATTGCTTTTCAATTACATTTTTTTCTACATGTCTATAACACAGATATGCTGGACAACTTAATAGTTGTAGTAGTAGCCATAGTCGAAGTGTCCGAATTTGGAATATTTGTAGTTGTAGTATTTCTCGAATGTATCCTCGTAGTAGATCTTGACATCCTTGAAGTACATGTTGGGCACGAAGAATTCGAATTCATCGATCTTGCGGTCGAAGGGATAACCGAAAGGCTTTTCATCAATGTGACGAGCACCAGAACCAATGCCGCAAGAGTAATTGTAGTTGAAGGAGTAGGGTTCGTACGAAGCAGTGTAGGGATAGACGAAGAAGAAGAATTGCATGGGCATACCCTTTTCCCAACCACGAGGCAAGACCAAACGATCGGGGAAGCCGCAGTGAGGTTCGGAGTAGTCCAAGGGAAATTCGTATTTGCCTTCGTAGGCCAACATAACAAACTTGTACAGTTCGGTATAGGTGGTGCGGTCGTCAGTGGTCCAGTAGAAGTCCTTGGAGCTGCGCTTGAAGGTGTTTACACCAGCCTTCAATTCATAGTAGAATTCATCGATCTCGACAAAGTTTTCACGGTTTTCATCCAAAGAGAAGGCACGGCCGAATTCATCGTATTTGGGACCCAAGAAGGCACGTACAACAACCTTTTGATCCTTGTCGGACTTAATGGTGTATTCGAATTCGAAGTCTTTGTGGTTAAGACGCATTTGACGAGCCAACAAGGTCTTGTCCCAAACGAATTTGCCATCAACGAAGGTATATTTGTCGTTCAACAAGTTGGTGACATCGAAATCGAACAAATCGAAGTAGGTGACCAAATCGCTAACCTTAACGCTCTCAATTTCAACTCCGGGGAAGTACAAGTCCTTGTGGGTGTAGGGATCAATGTATTCATAGAATTCAAAGAAGACATCGGTGATCTTCTTGTAGATCATGTAGAACATGGGATCACGCATCATGGTTTCGTAGTTCAAGAAGACACTGGGGTAGACTTCGAATTCGCTGTCATCGGTGTGGGCGAAGTACATATGGGCATACATGTACCAGAAAGTGGCAAAGTATTTGTCGTAGTTATCTGAATTGCCTTGCATGATGTCACCGAGGTATTCAATGGATTCAGGTTTGCGCAAATCAATCATCTTGCCATCGTGGGTCTTGAAGTAGCCCTGGGTAATGATTTCTTCAACACGGGTAAAGAAGTTGATGATGTAGTACATGTAGTCGAAGTTGCCATAGGTCTCGTATTCGTAGTAGTTCTTGCGGTAAGAATAGCCAACACCGTTGTAGTTGATCAACTGAGGATCGTAACCGTATTCGACTTCAGTGAAGAAGGAGAACTCAGGAACCTCACCATAACCATGAGACAAGCGTTCCATGTAGTAACGGGCGAGCAATTGACGCACAACATAGAAGTAGTATTCACCACGACGATCCTTCTTCAAACCGAATTGTTCGCCATTCAAGTAGGGGAAGTAATCCATGTTGAAGTAGTACCAGAACGAGTTCCATTCCAAATCTTCAGTGAAGTAAGACAATTCAGATTCCTTGTTGAAGAAGTAAACATCACGAGTGTAGTCAACAGGCATGTAGAACATATTGACACCCTTGATCATGTCCAAGTATTTGGAGTCCTTGTTGAAGAGGTACATGTTGTCGCGCATCATGAAATGATCTTCGGAGTACCAGTGTTCGCCCAAACCCATGAGTTTCCACCATTGCCACATCTTGAAGTCCTTGGTGTAGAAGTATTCATAGTTGTCGAATTTCTTGAAATATTGAGAGTAGTCCTTGTACATGAAGTCCTTGTATTCCTTCTCGTACATGATGTATTTGCTCCAGACATCGAAGTCGAATTTCTCAGCTTCGTAGACGAATTTGCTGTTGAAGAAGTATTGAGGGAAGATTTCATAGATGGCGGGCAACATCAAGCCATCGAAGTCATCACGGTGGATAACAGCCAAAGTCAAAGCTTGGACAAACATGCCTTCGTTGGCATACAAACGGGCCCAGCAGACGTTGCGTTGGAAGATTTCCCAGTTCTTGGCATAGTAGAAGAATTCAAACAAACCATACATTTGTTCGAAATGGGTGTAGGCCAAGGAGCCGAAATATTCACCCTTGGGCAAAGTGACGCCGTATTTGAAGGCATGATAGTACTCCTTCATAAATTCGCTATGGTGCTCAGGGAACTATGAAGGATTTACTTATTAAAATCGAAACATGTTTTGTGTATTATGTTTAGTACTTACCACGTAGTCGTCCTTGTTGTAGGTGAAGCTCTTGCCCAATTTAATGTATTCCTCAAACATCAAAGGATCCTCAACACGGTAAACGATTTCGAAGAGGAATTTTTGCTTGGCCAAAAAGTCCTTATCGGCATACTTGGTTTCGTATTTTGGTGGGAAGGCACTACCCGCCACCAGGCCGGCAACAGCCAATAGAACGATGGCAAATTTCATCTTGATCCTTCTACGGGTTTCCTTCTACTTTTGAGATCACTAAATGCACAATGACTAGAGATGATAATTGGATTAGATCCAATACCGTGACACTACTGCTGTCTGCTGTTCAAACAAACCTTTTTATATGCAAATTGTCTGCAGAAATCTGCAATACTATCGCCCTAAGAAACGTGATAGATTGCACAAAGAAAATGCCTTGTTACTGATAAGAAATTTTTTTTCTGTTTCTCCAGAAGATCCGTTTAGGTTTGAACCATCTGTTGCTAATTAGGTTTGATAACCTTCGACGGCCTTTACTAATTTCATGAGGGTTATGAAATTGTTTGTTTCATAAATTTCCCAAGTCAGTGTTATAAATTGATGAGGCGACAATGAATCATTGTATTATATAATTTTTATTTCGAAATGAAAATTCCAGATTTGTATCACAAATAAATATATTTTGGCAAAATTGAACAACTTAAGAAATTTGGAATAAAATATGGCAAATTTTTTGTATTGCTTACTCGAACTGCAAATTAAAGAAGAACATTTCGGTCAAGACATATATGAGCTTTCCTTTTTGTGGAAATCGATATTTTTACAAAAGAAAAGGATAATTAAAGAGAAATCATACAATACAAAGCCTTAATTTGTTAATGTTCCGTAATTTGTTATGTAAGTCTTTTGGAATCTTAAGACAATGTTTAAAATGCTTATTATTGTCTTCATAGTGGGTTCCCAGTATGAACATTCCTCAAGGTTTGATCTATCCACTTCCATTATCGTTTTAAAACATTGCCATAGCGGTACTTTACAATAACAAGGTTTAAAGTGTTTTTCTTCAATTACTTTTTTATTATTTTGATGGTCAATACACAAATAAAGAAGTTAAAAAGTATCTGTTGGTTTTGCCGACAGATGTACCCTCAGCCTCTGTTCGTTTATTTAAATATATTTTCACTTGTGTTATGATTATCCAAACTGTTGGCCCTATATGGGGGAGGTTCCAAAGGAGTGGGTCAATGTTGTCCATTTCGTATCTTATCTAAGTCTGAAATAAATACCCCAGATTTGGGCTCAATCGGCTCGATAATGTTTGAAAATTAAGAAATGAGCGTGAGGTACCAGATAAAGTGCACCGAAGTATTCCACTTCTTCTAATACTGAAGCAAACATATGGGATGAGCATCTAACATTTATTGCGAATAATTAATCAAAATTTAAACTTTTTTCAGGGGTAGGTACCAGAAGGAGTGAACCGATGAATTCTATATTCACATCAGATCTCAGGTTACCAAGGTTAAAAAAAATGAGTGATGCAAATATTGAAAATTGTGACCCACCGTGGGGAAAGTACCAGAAGGGGTGGGCTGATATCTATCATCTTCACAACAGATCTTGTGTTAATAAAAATATTTTGATATGTAAATTTTGAAAGTAAATGGATGCTTACTACACATTTACAAGAGTATTGGTTATTCAAAATGTTGACCCTTTGTGGGAGAGGTTTCAGAAGATGTGGACCGACATATTTCATCTTCACGACAGTTCTTGCGATAGCAGAAATATTGGATTGTGCCAAGTTTGAAATAATCGGATGCTTATTTCGCGTTTTATGAGCTTCTTTTGTTAGTAGAAATACTGTGATGTGCGAAAATTATATGGAATTTAATCCTTATTTCGCTTTTTAAAAAAAATGTATTTATTCCAAATTTTGACCCTCTGTGCGGGAGGTAAATGTTGGAGTGGACCGATATTGTCCATTTTCGCATCTGACCTAGAGCTAATGCAAATATTGGGATTTGCAAAGTTTGCAAAAATTATATGATCCTTTTGCGTTCTATACGATAAACTATTTTCTGTGAAAATGTTGACCTTTTTTGGGGGAGGTACCAGATGGAGTAGATTATCTTTGAACTTGATCTAAGTTTGACAATAATATAACGATGTACCAAGTTTGGATCAAATCGGATCCAAATGTTCTGAAACGGATTTGGTCCAAAGAGACCTATGGTTTAGAATCGCTATTTCTATGAGGCACGTTTTGGCCGTATCAAATGATATACACCCTCTCTAGCCATATTATTCAGGGTAGACAAAAAAAAAAAAACTAATAATCATTTGATGTCACCAAAAAGTAAATGAAATTATTAATATCAGAATTAGTTCATTGGTGCACTTCGTGAAAGTCTATATATGCTCAAGGTATTTCTGGGCAAAAATCCACTTTGTACGCGCTCAGAGTGTATTTGTCATCAGATACGGCCAAAATGCGTTTTATCGAAATAACCCATGTCGAAATAATCCATAGAGACATTTGAAGACGAAATAGACATGCCATATTTCTTCGTCTGTATGGCCCTCCATCTATCTGGCCGTTTGGTGTGCACGAATTGGTCTGACCTTGATACATCATAACAAAAGTTAGACTTTGAGTTCGGAGATTGGCAATATGTACCGATATTGCTGATCTCCGTTTGCAAAAAATAAAGACCTCATACTGAGAAAGCATTTAAAGATAAATATATCTGGATTCAATATTCAAACGTGTTCCACTTTAAACTACAAATACCAGTGAGATCTCTTAAAGTTTCCAAAATACAATTGAGTATGTGGAACCGTTATATTATACAAGTTATATATTATATACAAGTTTCTACTACAAGTATAGTTGTCTATTGCGAAGCTGAAAAATAAATTGAAACAATGTCGTGAGAAAAGGAATCTTTATTAAGAATTACAGATACTGAATTTTAAATAAATTTGATGGAAAATGTGACTTAATTCATTAAAAAATCGAATTTTTGGAGGTACCATTATATTGCATGGATCTATATTGGCAATGTTCTGCCACCGGCTACAACAATAACTAACAAAATTTGTAAAAATTCCATTGAAAAATGTGGCTAAAATGATCGAAATACTCAATATCGTGAGGTATTGTATGCCATAGGAAAACGTGGACACATGCACACAATTTTCTGTCACTGTATTAATCATAAATATATATGTACTTTACTTGAACATATGCTGTACTCGAAGGCCCCTTACTTTACATGGTTTCCCTTAAAATTTTGGCCTATATTAGAGCAAGTTTGAAATCGAATGTTTCAATCCACTCATTCTGGTACGTCTCACAAATTTAAATAATTGGAAATAAAACAATACAAACCTCATAATTAGTAAAGGGTGTCTCGATGTAGTTCAAATTAGGCATATCGTAATACATAGATTCGTCATAGGTCGGGACCAAAATTTGGACAATATTGTCCGATATTCTTTCATTTCACACCCGCTTATTTTTCTGGTACTGCACATATCATACATATATATTATACAAAACGATTCGAGTACTCGACGTAGTCTTGACTCGGTCAGGCTTAGATCAGGACCGAACATTGAAAATATTGACTTTGAAATTTTCACTTGGAATAAATAAAGTTTGAATGTAGTTTTATTAGAATCTATTATATCTAGATAAATGGTTTATTCATATATTTGTAGTGACATCTTCTGCCTCATATTAAAATTGAAGTTGCATACATTTACCCTTTTTTGGCAATAAATTTGTATTGGACGTCGTTCTTCTAAAATTATGCTTTTTTTGAGAATTAATTTTATTTCAAAATGTATTTTTAATATTTTGTGATAGGTAAAAAATTTATGGTAGAATCTGATGACAAAAATATTTGCGATGAAAATTTTCAAAACGCCTGTACACATGTCTTCTATGTTTAACTCTATTTTAATAATCTGCTGGATTTTTTTTCTCTAATTATTGAAAGAAATTAATTTTGTAGCACAGTATTATTTTAGAAAGATGTTATTTTAGAAAAAAAAAAAAACATTTTATTACATTCACACACATTTATTTACAGAAATAATGATCCTGATTAATAATTGTAATAATAATTATAATCAAATGCTCCAAATTTATCATATTTATTTCCGTAGTATTTGTCAAAATTATCCTTGTGGTAAATTTTCACATCCTTGAAATACATATTTGGCACAAAGAATTCATATTCATTGATTTCGCGATCGAGTGGGAATCCAAAGGCCATCTCATTAATATTGTTGATAAAGTATTCACCGCTGCAAGTGTAGCTGTAGTCCTCCGTCGATTCGTACGAGGCTGTATAAGGATAAACAAAAAAGAAAAACTGCATCGGCATGCCCTTGGCCCAACCTTTTGGTATTATTAATCGATCGGGGAATCGACAACGAGATTCAATGAAGTCTATGGGATATTTAAAATCGCCGTTGTATGCAGACATGACATATTTGTAGAGTTCCGTGTAAGTTAGACGATCATCAGCAGTCCAGTAGAATTCCTTGGAACTTCGTTGAATGTGATTGACACCCGCATTCAGTTCATAGTAGAAGCTGTCAATTGCAATGAAGTTGTGGCGGTTGGCCTTCAGCGAAATTACACGACCAAACTCATCATATTTCGGACCTAGAAAAGCTCGAATAACAACTTTTTGATGCTTGTCCGATTTTATGGTAAAATCAAATTTGAAATTTTTATGATTCAGTCGGCCCTGACGAGCCAGCAATGTTTGATTCCACACAAACGTTCCATCCATGAACGTTGTCTTGCCATTCAACAAATTTGTTACATCAAAATCGACTAAATCAAAGTAGGTTACCAAATCGCTTATTTGGACATTCTCTATAGTAACACCGGGTAAATACAACTCCTTGTAACTGTAAGGCTTGATGTGTCCATAAAATTCATTGAAGACATTGGTTATCGTTTTATAAAACATATAAAAGAATGGATCTCGAGCCATGGTTTCGTAATTCAAAAACACATGCGGATAGACATGATCTGATTTATGGTCGACATTTCCAAAATACATATGGGCATACATGTACCAGAATGTGGCAAAATATTTATCATAGCTCTCAACATTTCCTTGCATTATGTCACCAAGATATTCAATGGCTTCAGGTTTGCGCATATCAAGTTTGGTGCCATCAGAGAGCACAAAATATCCCTGATTTAGGATATTATCAATGCGTTTAAAGAATCCGAGAACTTTGTAAAGATATTCAAAGTTGCCATAACTCTCAAATTCGTAGTAGTTCTTCCGATATGAATAGCCGACACCATTGTAGCTAATCAATTGAGGATCGTAGCCGTGCTTTATTTCCTTGAAGAAGTAAAATTCGGGAATTTCACCAAAGCCATGCGACAAGCGCTCCAAGTAGTAGCGTGCCAATTTTTGACGTATGACAAAGTAAAAATATTCACCACCACGGCGTGCCTTGTTTAGAGCAAACATTTCAGAGTTCATGAATGGAGCATACTGCAGATTGAAGTAATACCAGAAAGCATTCCATTCAACGTCTTCGGTAAAATAGGATAACTCCGATTCCTTGTTGTAAAAGTAAATGTCACGGGTGTAATCAACAGGCATATAGAACATTTTCACATCCTTCATCATGTCGGCATATTTTGAGTCCTTTAAGAAGAGATGCGAATTATCACGCATAATGAAACGTTCTTCGGGATACCCATATTCAGCCAATCCCATAAGTTTCCACCATTGCCACATTTTCCAATCTTTGGTATAGAAATAATTGTAATGGTTCTTGTATTCCTTGAAATATTTGGCATAGTCCTTGTAAAGGAAGTCCTTGTATTGTTTCTCGTACATAATGTAGTTGCTCCAGACATCGAAATCAAATTTCTCCGCTTCATAAATGAATTTACTGTTGAAGAAGTATTGGGGGAAAATCTCATAAATGGCCGGTAGTACCAAACCTTTGAAATCGTCACGATGCATTATGGCCAAAGTCAGGGCCTGCGCAAAGATGCCTTCATTGGCATATAAGCGAGCCCAGCAGACATTGCGTTGAAATATTTCCCAATTTTTGGCATAGTAAAAGAATTGGAATAAGCCATACATTTCCTCAAAGTGATCGTAGTTTAGAGCTCCGAAGAATTCTCTTTTGGGCAGGGTTATGCCGTAGTTGTACGCCTTGTAGTATTTCTCCATGAATTCGCTATCATATTGTGGGAACTGAAAGGTGATGGGGGCATTTTTTTAAATTGAATCAAATTAATAAATCATGGGACACTTACATTGTAATCATCTGTGTTAAACTCAAAACTCTGGCCCAGTTTGATATATTCATCGAACACTAGGGGATCTTCAATTCGATACACAATTTCGAGCAAAAATTTCTGTTTGGCCAAAAAATCTTTGTCGACATGTTTTGTTTCGCGATTTTCTATTCCTTTGACCGCTGCCAGGCCTAGGATGGCCAACAACACAATATAAACTTTCATGCTGTTCCTATTTTATCGGCGACCATGCGATCACGACTTGCATCCGAACACTGTTATTGTTTCCAATGGCATTTCAGAATATATATCTTTCAATTATTTCCATAGATTAAATTTGTCATTCGATTGACATTGAAAGAATGATTTTTATAATCGCCTGATTCTGTCGCTATTTGCAGAGAAAATAAATAAAAGGCACTTAAGAAAGGTTACTTTGCCTAATGTTTTTCCAAAGAAGTATTGAATTATATATCATAAGTCAAATTATTATGAATGTCTGTGTACAAGTTCCGATACAGGCGTATGGACTTGTAGGGGTTCTAAATCTACAGAGTAGATTTAGATCCGAAAGTGTATTATTTGTTGCACTAAGACGAACAACAAAACTATGAATATTAGACAACACAACAAGTATACAGGCGATACTTACGTGTTGCTAAAAAGGCACTGGTGGTTAAGTCTTCAATAAAACACTTATTTTAATTAAAAGACTCTGACAGTCTGAATTTATGTATTTATTTGTTAAACAATTCTTTTTGTTTTGGCCAAGTTTATCTTCTTGCTTCTTCTTTCTTAGCGATCAATCTCTTTTCATGACAACACTAATTGTTGAGGTATCGATTGTTGGCCTATCGGTGTAATGAACCAGGAACCTCAACAGTCTGAAATGGTAATAAAGATCTGGCTATTTTAAACACAAAAACATCATATAAAATATGCGCTTTCTGTAGATTTAAAAACCGATTAATGTAGTATGGAGTGTATATTAAGTATGTCATTCAGTTTCTAACTCCTCGAAATAAACATTTCAGACCCTACCAAAGTATATGTATATATTCTTGATCAGCGTTAGATTCTATGTAGATTTAGACATGTATGTCCGTCTGTGAAAATCACTATAGCTTCCGAACGAAATGAAATATTATACCATATAACTTTACCGCCAGATTTACGATGGTTTGTTTAAGTCATATTTATGAACAGATTTTGCTTTAAATTGAAAATTTGTGTACCCTATATGTAGGAAGTATCTTTGCAGAGAACTGTCCACAGTTCTCGAAGTTTAGATATAGTCTCCATATGACTATACACCCGATAATCGGTATTTTGATGGCTTTGTCACATGTTTCATCGGAATTGTATAAAATTTGGTATTTAGAGTTCGTATTGGATACCACCTCCACTGACAGAAAATTCCTTATACAGGTCGACGTGTACAGGTTCCGTTCGTCCGTATGTCCATGTATTTTTGTAAACAAAGTACAGGTCGTATTTATTGCCCGATCAAGATGAAATTTTGCACAAATAAATTGGTCCAAGGACGAACCCTGTTGAAACCGGAGATAATCGGTCAAAATTTAGATGTAACTCCAATATATGTATATCTTCGACCGATTTGCTTGTTGTTGTGCTCTAAATGTGTAATATTAGTCCAAATAGGAAGAAATTTTGCATATATGACCAAACTGAGAAATAGAAACAAGTGTGCCAAATTTAGTCGAAATCGGTTCAGATATACCAATAGCTTCAATATATATTTTTCATCCGATTTCTTAAATTTCTTCTACACAGCCGTAATATGCACTCCGTAACAACGATATTCCGATAAATATATCAAGTACATCTCAGAAATACTTTTGCAAACTTTTATCGATATCGGTTCATGCTTGGATATAGCTCTCATATACATCTTTACTTGATTTCAAGTTTATTGCGCACCAAATGATTAATATAAACCTAAATTGAATGGAAGAAAGTGCATCAAATTTGGTGAAATTGGTTATAAGTTAGGATAAATTATCTCTATCTCTAAATTATTATGGTGATTCATAGCTTATGAAGCTTCAGAAGCTTCAGAAGCTTGAAAAAAAATTTTTACAATTTTCTTAATCCACGATTGTAACCCTGATGGCTTTCAAAACTTTTTGGTCAAAAAATTAAAAGAAAAACAAGTAAAAATCAGTAAGTTCGGCCGGGTCGAACTTTTAATACCCTCCACCATTTGGAACGAATTCTGTTAAAATCTTAAAAATACCGAATGTAGCTGTTACATTAGGGTCTATACGACGGCATGAACTTGCATAGATAACTTTTGTCATAAGCCATAACAATATTCAAATGTGAAACTTAAAAAAAAATCGGTGAATAATGTAGCTAAAATCATATAAATACCGAATATCGGGAGGTATCGTTATATGGGTGCTATACGAGGTCGTGGACCTGCACAGATAATTTTCTGTCTTAGACTGTAGTATCCATTACGAACTTCAAATACCAAATTTGAAAAAATTCCGGTGAATATTGTGGCAAAAATCATCAAAATACCGAATATTGTGAGGTACCGTTATATGGGGAACTACATGGCCCATTTTCAATAACAAAAGTCCTGCAGACATATTACATAGAATTGAATAAAATTTTATCAATCTGCTTCAATTCGTTCGGTAGCTAGAGTGATTTCTACAGACGGACGGACATCGCCTAATCGACATAGAATTTTATGCTGCTCAAGAATATGTGTACTTTGTGGGGTCTAAAATGTATATTTCGAGGTGTTGCTCATACCTGTAAAATACTCTCTACAACAACGATATTTGGTGCCAAATATCAGATACAGCATAGAAATACCTCAGCTAAATTTTATAGAGGTCGGTTCAGATTTGGATGTAGCACTCATACATATCTTCCTCCGATTTCACGTTTATTGTGCCTTAAAAGTGTTATATCATCTTAAATAGGATGGATTTGGATAAATATCTATTTAGACACAAATGCCTTTGTCAAATTTAGTCTAATACGATAGAAGCCTGCTATATATTAGTTCCATTCGTCTTTAAATTATAACTGTTTTAAAGCCATAATACGCATTCAAAAACGATCATAATCGGTATGTTTCAATTCTCATAAATTCCCATAAAAATGTTTTTTGTTATGTTGCACTACTATATATGCAAGTGGGGTGAGGTATCATAAAGTTGGCCCAGCCCGACTTTGGCCTCTTTTTCGTTTTATATTTTGCAAGTTCCTTCCAAATGGCGGAGGATATCTAAGGCTTTTTTTATTTTGCATTAAAGTCTTGGAAATGTCGTCAGAAGTAAAACTTGATTTAGAATATTTCTTCCTTCGACATTCTTCCGAAAAATAAATATTAAGGAGATATTCTGGACAAATGGGCGAGGAAAGACTTGATAAGTCAAGTTTTAAACTATTTTCGCGTGGCAACGTTTTCTTACAACACTGAGGCAAACATTTTTTTATTTATAATGGTAAAAGACATTTATTTTCTTTTGTGGGTTATTAGTTAAAATTGTAAAGAGTATATTTGTCTTTGACGTCCTCAACCTAAAATGATATTTGGAAAAGAGGACCTAAACACAACTTAATGACTCGTTTGAGTCTCGAATTTTGCCACCAAAATAATCTTTGTATTGTTATCAGTAATATTGCCGAAGATGTGTTTCCAGCTATCCATCATCTTCAAAAACTTGTTTTTAGTTTAAAGTTATGTTCTTTGAGTTATCCGGAGTTCTCTACATGTGTAAAATTGTAAAGATACTACAAATAATACCTTCCTTTTATATTCTGGTCCTACAATCAAGATATTTTGCGAGGATGAATCTTGAATCAGAAAGTTGCATTCAATGTAACTATGTTGACAATTTTTCGTAAAAATAGAATCCACTTGGAAGCCCGAAAGTCAGATGCCATCAAAAAAAAAAAAAAAAAAAAAAAAAAAAAAACATGCGATGTAAAATACCTTTTCTCAATTAAACTTGTAAACATTTCACACAAAAATTTCTAAAATTTTCTTGAGTCTTTAAATATCAACGATAATGTATTAATTCAATAATTTTTTTTTTATTATAAAATTCATTCTGGCCAGTCGGGTTCAGTTTCATTAAAAAAAAAACAAATTTAATTTGTTTGCTATTCCTTTTACCCTGCACCAATATCTTTTAAAAATATTGTTTATAAACTGGTTGTATTTTCTCTTGATTATATAATTGTGAAACACCAACAGAAATAAAATTGCTTATCTGCGACGTTCTCATAAAAATAGCTTTCGAAACTCCATAAGGTAAGGTGTCATTCCACCTGTATCAAAGTTATGCAAACAAATTAAAAAATTGCAAAAATAATATCTGTTAATGTGTTAAGATGACATCATTTCACCTGAGAATATCTTAATTCCAAATAATGTAAATTGTATAAAATCATGCTGGAAAATTGTAACAATCAACAGTCCTTTTGAGTTGCTTGCCATTGACTGAACAATTTCTGATCTCAGTATTTCATAAAAATGAAGTTCTCCATTGTCCTGTTGGTCATTGCTGGCTTAGTGACAATAAAAGCCGCAGACAGAGATTTTTTGTCAAAACAAAAATTCCTTTTTGAAGTTGTTTTCCGTGTCGAGGAACCCCTGATGTTTGAGCAATACATCAAATTGGGCATGAATTTCAGCTACGATCAGGATGATTATGTCGTAAGCAGTTTATAATTACTAATGTCTTTATTATCCATTTTAAAACTCTAAAAACACGCATTTCTAGTTTCCCGAGCAACACAGTGAAAATATGGAAAAATACTATGAAGCCTATAAATATGGTGTCACCTTGCCGCGAGGCGAATATTTTGGTTCTTTGGCCTCCAGCCATTTCGAACAGATGTACGGTCTGTTTGAATTCTTTTACTATGCCAAGAACTGGGAAATTTTTCAACGCAATGTCTGCTGGGCCCGCTTACATGCCAACGAAGGCATGTTTGTGCAAGCCCTCACATTGGCTGTAATGCGCCGTAATGATATTGAAGGCTTGATATTGCCTACCATTTATGAGATCATCCCCCAACATTTCTTCAACAGCAAATTCATCTATGAAGCAGAGAAATTCGATTATGATGTTTGGAGCAAATATATTATGTACGAAAAGGAATACAAAGGCTTTTTGTACAAGGACTATTCTAAATATTTCGAGGAATTTAAAAACTACGAATTCTTCTACACCAAGGACTTCAAGACGTGGCAATGGTGGAAGCTCATGGGTTTGGGAGAACAATGGTATGCTGAGGATAATTTCATTATGCGCGACAATATGAACATCTTCAATAATGATTCCAAATACTTGGAAATGATGAACGATGTCAATATATTCTATATGCCTGTTGACTACACCCGCGATGTTAATTTCTTCAACAAGGAATCTGCATTGTCTTACTTCACCGAAGATGTTGAATGGAACTCGTTCTGGTACTATTTCAACATGGATTACATTCCCAACTTGAACGGCGAACAGTTCGGTTTGAAAAAGGATCGTCAAGGTGAATATTTCTTTTATGTTGTACGCCAGTTACTTGCCCGTTATTTCATGGAACTTCTGTCTCATGGGTATGGAGAGATTCCAGAATTATCGTTCTTCACTGAAGTTGAACATGGCTATGATCCTCAGTTGGTCAACTACAATGGCGTAGGGTACTCTAGTCGCAAAAACTATTATGAATATGAAACCTATGGCAATTTTGATTATATGCGAGACATTATTGGATTTTTCAAACGTGTGGAGGATATCATTACTCAAGGTCTTTTCAAGACCCGCGATGGCAAGGTGATTAACCTGCGCAAACCTCGATCCATTGAATATCTGGGAAACTTGATGCAAGGTAACGCAGATAATTATGACACATATTTCGCTACCTTTTGGTACCTGAATGCCCATATGTACTTTGCCAATATCAATGGCAAGCAAACCGAGGTTCACCCTAATGTCTTCTTAAACTATGAAACCATGATGCGTGATCCCGTGTTCTACATGATTTACAAAAAAGTTAATGACGTCTTTTTTGAATTCTACGACCATATTGAGCCTTACAAGCAGAAGGACTTGAATTTCCCCGGAGTAGAAATTGATAATATTAATGTCAGTGATTTGGTCACCTACTTCGATATAGTTGATATTGATGCAACTAACTTGCTGAACGACAAAATGACTTTCGTCGATGGTAAATTCGTTTGGGATAAGACTCTGTTGGCCCGTCAAATGCGTCTCAACCATAAGGACTTTGAATTCGAATACAAAATTAAATCGGATAAGAAACAGAAGGTTGTTATACGTGCCTTTCTGGGTCCTAAGTTTGACGAGTTCGGCCGTGTTATTTCGTTAAATGAAAATCGTGAAAACTTTTTTGAGATCGATGAATTCTACTACGAACTTAAACCTGGTTTCAACAGCTTCAACCGCAGCTCTAAGGACTTCTACTGGACCACTGATGATCACACCACCTACACGGAGTTGTACAAATTCTTTGAGAAGGCCCTTGAAGGTGAAATTGAACTACCCTTGGACTACTCAGAACCTCATTGCGGCTTCCCCGACCGTTTGATTTTGCCCCGTGGTTGGGAAAAGGGAATGCCAATGCAATTCGCCTTTTTTGTCTACCCGTACACTGCCTTAGGTAAGCCCAACGCCCCCAACTACTCTTGCGGTAATAGATCAGGTGTTCGTCATATAGGCGATATGCCTTTCGGCTATCCCTTCGATCGTGAAATCGATGAATTTGAGTTCTTTGTGCCCAACATGTACTTCAAGGATGTGAAGATCTACTACGAAGATACATTTGAGAAATATTATGAATTTAAGTATGACAAATTCGGTACTTTTGATTATAACTACTATTATGACTATTGAATATATTTGTTTGTATTAAATAGTTTAAATGATGTGATAGTGTTTTTAAATAAATGCGCTACACACATGTGCTCATATGAATTATTATAGCAATTTTGAAAAATATTATAACAATTTTGGTCTTATACTGTGCGGTAAGAGTTACTTGGTTCTATATAGTTTAAGACCGAAAGATTGAGAAATTAATATAACAAGTCAGGGTAAATTATTACCATTAAAAAGGAGTTATTATTTGTTTCGACGGGATTTAGAAGCAATTGGTGGATCATGTGGATAGCAATTTTTTTTATGTAGCTTTTAGATTTAGATTGTAAGTCGTATTTGATTGACAAACTTCTTAAAACTGCGACAGATTGAAACCTGTGTAGTAGTTCTTGTGTATCCATTATATATATGTCTCGAAAGTAAAGATCGTAAATCCATTGTAAGGAACTTTTTAGAAGAAGAAAAAAGCATTTTTTTAAAAAAAAAATGAGATGAAATAAAAAAGTACCTTTCTTATATTTGGAATTTGTGAATTGATCTTTTTCCCTTAGATAACCAACATTTTTTTAAATACCACCGCTATCTAAAACGTCAAATAGCTGATTTAAAAAAATCTATTTAATTTAGAAAAGTTGGTCAAAAAGCACAAATAAAAGCAACTGCCGACTCAAAACTATTTTTTTATTTGAGTAGTATTTGTATTATTTTTTAATCCTTTTTTCAAGTTTTGGTGAAATAGGTCAAAAATGATATTTTTCTAGTAATCGGCACCCCCTGCCGACTACTGGCAAATCTCTTTTTTTTCTGTCCCTAATGTCGGCATTAAATAATATAAGTTATAAAATGATCGTTAGACTGTTATTTACTATCATAAAATATTTCTGATTCCAAAAGTATTAAATTTAATTTACTTAAATCGATTATTAAGTTGACGGCACCACTAATTTTTTCTTTACAAACAAGCACTATCGCACGCGTTGGAAGACACTCACTGACGAAAACCGTTATTCTCTCGTAATAAATGATCGGAGCTCATTGTTGTTTTACAGAAAGAGAGCAGAGAACACTGTTGACGTTTTGTTTTTTTTTTTCAATTATTTCATTATTTGGTCAATTCCATTTTTAGTTATTTACGTTTAAATTTAAAAACTGCCGACTACTGGGACATGCCGAACTAAGGCGCACTTACCCTATTTATTTTTTGTAGACAGAACTTTTAAGATAACCTTTGATGTTGCAAAATGGTCAGGCTTAATCCTTTATTGTTGTTTTTATAAAAACAACGTTTGTTTATTAGTGGAGATCAATGGTAATGTTTAGGCAATACCTAGATTTAGGCAGGCAATACCTAGATTTCGGAAAGAGCCACCAATCCTCATCAGTTCCCTTGTTATTGTCTGGGATATTCTCCCCAGAAGTTATTTTAAAAATAACTTGTATGACAAAAAACTTTTTTTCTTCTATTGAGCTTGCGATCTCCTCACTTCAGGGCTAAAATTCAATTTTGTTAGTATTCTATTAAAAATTATCCAAATCGATAGGCAGAGGAAAAGATAAACTCCGCCTTCTTAAAAAATTAAAATAAATGAACTACAATTGAGTACTCAAAACCACCGCAATTACAGGTAGAAAACTAAGATAAAAAAGCATTGGTGCGAAGAAATATGGGCTAGGGAAATTGCTTTACCACAATCATAAAATATTTAAAACAGGAAGCGCTAAAATGTTTTTTTCTTCTTCTAAAAAGTTCCTTACAATGGATGTACGATCTTTACTTTCGAGCCATATATATATATATATATATATATATATATATATATATATATATATATATATATATATATATATAATGGATACACATGAACTACTACACAGGTTTCAATCTGTCGCAGTTTTAAGAAGTTTGTCAATCGAATACGACTTACAATCTAAATCTAAAAGCTACATAAATAAATTTGCTATCCACATGATCCACCAATTGCTTCTAAATTCCGTCGAAACAAATAATAACTACTTTTAATGGTAATAATTTACCCTGACTTGTTCTATTAATTTCTCAATCTTTCGGTCTTAAACTATATAGAACCAAGTAACTCTTCCCGACCAGTATAAGACCAAAATTGTTATAATATTTATCAAAATTGCTATAATAATTCATATGAGCACATGTGTGTTTTTTTATATATATAAAGCTTTTATTTTTACATAGCGCATTTATTTAAAAACACTATCACATCATTTAAACTATTTAATACAAACAAATATATTCAATAGTCATAATAGTAGTTATAATCAAAAGTACCGAATTTGTCATACTTAAATTCATAATATTTCTCAAATGTATCTTCGTAGTAGATCTTCACATCCTTGAAGTACATGTTGGGCACAAAGAACTCAAATTCATCGATTTCACGATCGAAGGGATAGCCGAAAGGCATATCGCCTATATGACGAACACCTGATCTATTACCGCAAGAGTAGTTGGGGGCGTTGGGCTTGCCTAAGGCAGTGTACGGGTAGACAAAAAAGGCGAATTGCATTGGCATTCCCTTTTCCCAACCACGGGGCAAAATCAAACGATCGGGGAAGCCGCAATGAGGTTCTGAATAGTCCAAGGGTAGTTCAATTTCACCTTCAAGGGCCTTCTCAAAGAATTTGTACAACTCCGTGTAGGTGGTCCGATCATCAGTGGTCCAGTAGAAGTCCTTAGAGCTGCGGTTGAAGCTGTTGAAACCAGGTTTAAGTTCGTAGTAGAATTCATCGATCTCAAAAAAGTTTTCACGATTTTCATTTAACGAAATAACACGGCCGAACTCGTCAAACTTAGGACCCAGAAAGGCACGTATAACAACCTTCTGTTTCTTATCCGATTTAATTTTGTATTCGAATTCAAAGTCCTTATGGTTGAGACGCATTTGACGGGCCAACAGAGTCTTATCCCAAACGAATTTACCATCGACGAAAGTCATTTTGTCGTTCAGCAAGTTAGTTGCATCAATATCAACTATATCGAAGTAGGTGACCAAATCACTGACATTAATATTATCAATTTCTACTCCGGGGAAATTCAAGTCCTTCTGCTTGTAAGGCTCAATATGGTCGTAGAATTCAAAAAAGACGTCATTAACTTTTTTGTAAATCATGTAGAACACGGGATCACGCATCATGGTTTCATAGTTTAAGAAGACATTAGGGTGAACCTCGGTTTGCTTGCCATTGATATGGCAAAGTACATATGGGCATTCAGGTACCAAAAGGTAGCGAAATATGTGTCATAATTATCTGCGTTACCTTGCATCAAGTTTCCCAGATATTCAATGGATCGAGGTTTGCGCAGGTTAATCACCTTGCCATCGCGGGTCTTGAAAAGACCTTGAGTAATGATATCCTCCACACGTTCGAAAAATTCAATAATGTCTCGCATATAATCAAAATTGCCATAGGTTTCATATTCATAATAGTTTTTGCGACTAGAGTACCCTACGCCATTGTAGTTGACCAACTGAGGATCATAGCCATGTTCAACTTCAGTGAAGAACGATAATTCTGGAATCTCTCCATACCCATGAGACAGAAGTTCCATGAAATAACGGGCAAGTAACTGGCGTACAACATAAAAGAAATATTCACCTTGACGATCCTTTTTCAAACCGAACTGTTCGCCGTTCAAGTTGGGAATGTAATCCATGTTGAAATAGTACCAGAACGAGTTCCATTCAACATCTTCGGTGAAGTAAGACAATGCAGATTCCTTGTTGAAGAAATTAACATCGCGGGTGTAGTCAACAGGCATATAGAACATATTGACATCGTTCATCATTTCCAAGTATTTGGAATCATTATTGAAGATGTTCATATTGTCGCGCATAATGAAATTATCCTCAGCATACCATTGTTCTCCCAAACCCATGAGCTTCCACCATTGCCACGTCTTGAAGTCCTTGGTGTAGAAGAATTCGTAGTTTTTAAATTCCTAGAAATATTTAGAATAGTCCTTGTACAAAAAGCCTTTGTATTCCTTTTCGTACATAATATATTTGCTCCAAACATCATAATCGAATTTCTCTGCTTCATAGATGAATTTGCTGTTGAAGAAATGTTGGGGGATGATCTCATAAATGGTAGGCAATATCAAGCCTTCAATATCATTACGGCGCATTACAGCCAATGTGAGGGCTTGCACAAACATGCCTTCGTTGGCATGTAAGCGGGCCCAGCAGACATTGCGTTGAAAAATTTCCCAGTTCTTGGCATAGTAAAAGAATTCAAACAGACCGTACATCTGTTCGAAATGGCTGGAGGCCAAAGAACCAAAATATTCGCCACGCGGCAAGGTGACACCATATTTATAGGCTTCATAGTATTTATCCATATTTTCACTGTGTTGCTCGGGAAACTAGAAATGCGTGTTTCTAGTGCATAGATGCCCAATGTAATAGTATTGGTGAGAGCGACGAAATAACACTGGAAGAAAATATTTTTCTATTCATTTTATTTAGTCGTCAACGAGATAGCGACGAAAGCACATGTGTGGCGGGTGTCGTAATTTTTTGCTTTTTCTGGGAAATGTAAAATTAATGAATGTACAGGGATCGCCGGGTTATACTATTGCGGGACAAAGGTAATTTTTTAATAAAATTAGTGTTAAAATTAAGTTTTTCAAAAACTTGACACAACATATTTTTGACAAACGGCCCATCTGAAAATGGCCTTCCCTTTTTTATAATATATAAACTTATTAAGTTAGATAAACCCATTTTTAAATTCTCCTCCACCATATCTTCATCATTATCTCTATATTGATTTACCCATTCCTTCAACTTTTTTATAAAAAGTTTCTTATACATTTTAAATCGTTTTTCTTTTTCTTCCCCCTGCAAACAATTCATGTCTTTATGAACAGTTTCAAAATGTTTTTTTATTATATTTCTTATTTTTTTAAATGTCTTATAACATATAACACATTGCATATCATCAAAAGCATTTTATAGCATAAAATGCTTTTGAAATGACATCATTGACATATCGCAATAATTTTCAGTTTATGTGTTCACTAACAGCAGTCTCG